TTACAGTAACCCTAGCGTCGGCCTTAGCCTGTTTTTCTGACCTCCCGTTTCTAATAAGTAAAAAATGTTCTAATAATTATAGTTCTAAAAACGATTTTCCCCTTCACTACGCTACGGTACGATGCGATACGGTATGCTTCGCTAAATTCGTAGAGAATCTCTACTAGAGATAGTCTAAGACTTCATAGCTTACTAGGGAATGGTCTCCGCTCGGCCTCGAATTTCGGGTTGAAAGTTAGCTCAACTTGTAGAGCTCAACGAGACGAATCGATTGATGTAACTTTTAGCTGCGGATACTGTAATACAACAAAGTTACAGTCCTTTAAAGTTTTTACGCGACCTTCATAAGCCCTCCCCACGCCCCCCACACCGTGGTCTGGTGGCCTAGTGGTGTAGCAGTGGGCGTGTGGGGGAATCTAACGAGGGTTCGGACCCGCTCAGGATTTTTATTTTTTGCTTTTTGGTCCGAAGCCTTCTTTTTGCGTTCTGAAGGCCGTGAAGAACTTTTTATTCATCATTTCTGCACTAGGAAGTGCTGCCAATAAAAATGAGGCTTCGGCAAAAAAAAACAATTTTTTTGAACCCAGTGGCTGGTGCTCTAGCCTCCAAAATTTTAGATACAGTTTCAGCAGGTGGGCAATCATCATTAAAAATCACTATCGTGCCCCCGATTCGATGAAAAAACTTTTATTTTTATTGGCCTTGATCACCCACCAATGGCATGCTGGCTAATCGTCAAAATTTTCCAAAATTTTTAGGGGTGGTTATTTTGTTGGGGGAGCACTTCCTAGTGCAGAAATGATGAATAAAAAGTTCTTCACGGCCTTCAGAACGCAAAAAGAAGGCTTCGGACCAAAAAGCAAAAAATAAAAATCCTGAGCGGGTCCGAACCCTCGTTAGATTCCCCCACACGCCCGCTGCTACACCACTAGGCCACCAGACCACGGTGTGGGGGGCGTGGGGAGGGCTTATGAAGGTCGCGTAAAAACTTTAAAGGGCTGTAACTTTGTTGTATTACAGTATCCGCAGCTAAAAGTTACATCAATCGATTCGTCTCGTCGAGCTCTACAAGTTGAGCCAACTTTCAACCCGAAATTCGAGGCCGAGCGGAGACCATTCCCTAGTTAGGGGTATCTATAAATAGCCAATTCCGCTACTCTACCCATCGCAACGCGTAGAAAAACTGATAAACAACCTTCCGTTCCGCTACACTCCAATTTACGCTTTGAAAAAAGCCCGCCGACCGCGATGATCCTATCCACACACAGCTGATCGGATCATATTATGCCTTTTCTATTTTCTGGAAGCCTAGTGATCAGCTTGCTCTCTCTCTCTTTCTCCCTCTCTCTCTTGTTTTTGATGTGTAAATATTTTCAGCTGAGGAGTGAGGGTGGGGTAGGTGATAAACAGCCACTAACGAGGGAAGGAGAGGGGACAAGGTGCAAACATTTTGTTTGCCGATTTTTGGGGTGTTAGCGGGCAGTACTCCTTTTGAATACTGTGTTCGTTGCCCTGTAAGTTGTTGCAGTTTGTAGTGCACTTTTTCATGGCTACCTTAAACGTTAAAAAATTAAATTTTTTCGAATTCCGAATCACCCGAAACCCGGTAGTATGTAGTTTTATATTTTTGTATTTTGTAGTTAAGCGTAGTTACCGTAGTCCTCCGAAATTGTTATTTTTTTAGTTCTTTATGGAGCTTCGGCGGACTTAATTTCCTATTTTTTCACAAAACACACGTTTCCTAAAAAACAAATGATGCTATCTGTGGGTTATCCGGGGGCAATCCCCCACGCGTTCCGTTCTTTACGAGAGCCGAGCTCTCTGCAACTATTTTATGACCCATCTATCTCTTTTATCCGGTGCCCCCATCTACCCGACAGATTCGGTGGGGTGGAGGCCGAGTGCGCGAGATCTTGACGTAAAACAGTGCCCTAGATCACAGCAACCACGTGGTGGTGGGGAACATTTTGGAGTAGGAAACTGAGCTGTAATTCGCTTATTGTAGTGTACTTGAAGTTGAAGCTTTGCATCCGTTTCCTAAAATTGCATTTTTAAGGGGGGTTTTGTGACATTTTGCCAGCGGTTCGCAAAAACCGGAAGAAAGTTAGGAATGCCAGAAGAGGTCCTTAGCGAATTAGATATGAGAAAAAGAGGGAACGAGAGATCTAGAAAAAGCCAGAGAGAGAGAGAGAGAGAGAGAGAGAGAGAGAGAGGCAGAGCGGGAGAACAAGAGAAAGTGAGAGACATCTGCCATATGTTTCCAAAAGCCTGATAACCGAAAATATTGAGGAAAACTAGGACACAACACGAAACCTATGCAGCAATTTCGACACTTCCGGCTTTATTGAGATCGCGCGCAGTCCACCAATTTCCAAATCACCAGTTCTTTACACACCATTTGAGCGGTCGCTCATTGGAACTCGCTGATCCTCGCTGATCCATGACGAATTCGAGCCCCAAAATAGTCGGCCGGTGGTTCCGGATGGTCCTGCAACCTCGAAATCATCCCTTCCCTTTCTTTTTCCACCTCCGCGATGGTCCCTCGGCGCTCAAAAATGACCTTTCCTTGACTAGGGTCACCCGGGGACCGCCCAGAGGCCAGGCAAACGGGCGGGGGGACGGTAGCGAGGGTGGTATGTAAACTGGAGCCGGGGAATGGGGCTTCAGAGCACAACTTTGAACACTTCTCTTTGTTGTACAGGAATTTCAGTTGCCTTTTACAGTAATAAGAATGATTTTTAACAACCACTTTTCATAAAATTTGACGCGTTTTTGTTAAATTTTGACGCAATCACAGAAAAATCTTATTTTTCGAAAAGTTGAAGCCTTTTAAGATCTTTTCACGATTTTTCGAATTTCGATCTCGAGAAAAATAGCATTTTTATCATGAGGTTGGGCCCTTCTACAGTAATCTCCATCTTAACTTCAACGTAAAAATTAAACTTACCATTACGGAGGTCCTCAATGCTACCGGTTATAATTGTAATTTTTGTATTTTTTCGGTCTGTTTCCGATTTCCCAACTCATTTTTGGCAACCAGCCCATTATTCGATTTCCACACAAACACCCTGGCCCCCAGCCAAATCCCATCAATCCTAGGGGGTAGCTGGTATTCAAATGACCCGGGGGGTGGCCTTGGCCGGGTGCAAAAAGCCCGGAAATGCCCGGAAAAACACGCAAAAACCGCAGCAGCAGCAGGGATCCTCCCCCGCGCACCACGTGGGGTCAGGAAAACAGAGCAATTTGGCGGGGTGTTCCGGTCTGGGTGGGTGGTTCTGGATAATCCGGGTTACTGTAGAATTGTCTAGAATGTACTATGGAGTATGGCATCGGGATAAAAGCCAACGCTAGGATACTCTAGTCGTATTTACAGGAGGTTCCCTAAGCATCTCTGCTAGCTATCTTAAACTCGATTTTTCAGAAATCGCGATATTTTTAAGCTTTGAAAATAGTTTTTGTAACCACACACCAAAATGAATGTTTTGTTATTATATTGCTGCCCAAAATTGTTATACTAATCTTTTGCATCCTTTCTGAAGATACGCATTACGATGCTTAAATATGTTTTTCTAGCGCTTTCACCAAGTTTAATTAGTATAAGTTTTTTCCTATTTACCAGACAAGAATACCACAACAATCCGCCTCCACCTATCCACTTGATCAACAAATTTTCTCTAAAAAAGTCTCCCTGTCCCTAAATGTTTACCTCTCCCACATAGGGAATAATTTGTGTTCCATCCTATTCCCTGACCTTTTATCATTTTCGCCCTGATTCGGCGGACGGAGCTGGGCGGTGGTCAGTGTACATAGCGTCACCTTCATTTTGGGGTTTTGTAAATAGGGTGTTTAGGGGAGTGGAGGGGGAAATCGGGCCCTCTTAAATTCGCCTGTTACTGTAGATTTTGAACTAAAAATCGTAAAAACTCTCATTAAATTGAAAAATCCGGTTACAGGATTACTCTAGAACTTTCAAACTATCTTACCATCAATTTCGACATTTCTACCTACCACGGTCACATTAAAAAATTATTTCAATATTTTTTGAGTCCTCTCTCTCTCTCTCTCTCTCTCTCTCTTTCTCTCTCTGACTCTCTCTCCCGCGCCACTCTCAAACCCGACCTTTGCCCCTCTTTCCGCTATCGTGCCGAAGCGTAATTTCGGGGTCTTCCCCCATCACCTCTTCATTTTTTCTATTTGTATCAAGTCATGTGTATCTATCTGTCAGTCAGTCAGTCTCCCCTCTTTCTCTTTCTCTTGTGATTTGGCAGACAAAGGGGCGGGGGCTTCCCCCAAATATAAATAGCGGCCCCTATCACATTCGGAAGGCTATTCAGGGCCAAAGCCTTGATAATTGTTGGTCTTCTAGAGGGGACCAGCTTCCGTTTAAAGGCTGTTAAGCCAGCTTACTTTGCTTTGATTGAAACAAGCTATTTCTTACTTCAATGATTATTAATTTGAATTTTTACTATTTATAATATTTAAGTTTAAACCCTGCAATTTTAAAAAAAACTTTTAAGCTTCGCTAGCTTTTATTTTTGCGAGAGAAAAAGATAGCGTGAGAGACAGTGAGGGAGTGAGAGAGTGAGTGAGAGAGTGGGTGAGAGAGTGATAGTGAGAGAGCGAGCCGAGTTAGAGCGAGGGGGAGAGAGAGCGAGAAAGCCTCAGAACTTCAAACCACTTACGTTTCTGCTTTTTGTAGCCCACCTTCGTTTTTTCCCATTTTGTAGTAGTATCGTTGTTTATCTCCCTTCCGCCCCAGCCACGAGGCTTGACCAGCCAGCTTCCGCCGGGGGCCTTTCTTTCCGGCCTTTATCAGCTCTTTTCTGTATTTTTTGGTGACGCTCCACCTTGAGGAGCCAGGATTTAAGGCCTCCCCCTATGGCTTCCGTATCTTAGCCGCCGTTTCACTGTGCTACTATACGATTTTTGGACTTCGAATTTATTACCTTGTCACAGTTAAAATTCACTTTGTTGATGCCAACCTTTTCAGAAAGTACAACATGTTCGCCTCTCGTGCCCTGTCCAACGCCGCCCGTACCGTCACCGAGACGACGTACACCTATAGCCGGTGAGTTTTAGACGGCAGAGTGATAGGGAGAGAGCCAGCGAGTGAGAGGGAGAGAGGCAAGAACGCAGATTATGTAAAATTTTCAGAGCTATGCCCCAGACGAAAGTCCCGATGACCGAGACGATTCAGCCGACGACGCTGAACCAGACCAGGAACGCCTTCGTCGACAGCTTTAAGTGAGTTTTAGCAAAACTTTAGACACTTTTTTCTAAATAAATTAGGACGGTAAAAAATTGCGTCTTCGGTTAAGGTTTTAAAAATTCAAATACTGTTTGGAAATAGAATAAGTGAGATCAGAAAAATTTTTGTGTCTCGAACTATTCTGTTCTTGCAGGCAAAACTTAGATTAATAATCGTAAAGCAGCATATCAAATTTTTATCTCAATTTTCAGCTTCACCCCCAAGACGGAAACCACCTTCTCGAAGACGAGCCAACCCACGCACCGTTTCAACCCGTTCATGACAAAGCAGTGATCTCAGCAACTTCAACATTCCGACCTTCGACCCTTAACTATACATATTTGACTTGTGTCGTCTTTGCGTAATGCCTGTATATAGCCAACGAGTGGAATAAACATGAGTGCTTTCCTATACAAATCAAAACATGCATACCCTGAAAAACACCGCGAAACTGGCAAAACTTAAAATATGCAGCATAAATCGATAATTTAATTAGTGACTTTATGGATGAGCTTTTTCAGATTACACTTAAAAATGTCAGGCTCTCTTTCGCTCCTTTTCACTCTCGGAGTCTGCGGCGCCTTTCTCTTGCTCCTCTCCCTGTCTCTCTCTAATTTTCTTACTTTGGCTCTCAAACTCATTAGCTTTTTATGTTTCTGACGTCTTGTTTCTGTCACTTCCCCTTTAAATGACGGAAAGCAAGCGAAAAAGAATTAAAAAAAGGGTACTAACAACGGAAATAGGCGACTCGACCTAAAACTGCATTTATATGGTACTCCCGCTTCAATCTAGCCCTAAAAATTTGTTCCACAGCGTCCCAGCGAACGTTTTGGCAGTCCTCCTCGCGCCCGTGTCGTTTTTGCAACTTTTTCGGGCTGCAAACGATGATCCGCCCTGTGTCCGGCAGATCGATGTTCGTAACGGGGTGAGCCGGCCCAGGCAAAGCCCGCTAAAAATATCAATATTGCCGACCCCCGAGTTTCATCCGCTTCGGCGGAACAAGGGCGACGTGTTCCTGGCCGGGCAGATATTGCGTTTTTCGTATTTATTTTTCTGCAACCCGTGTGACTTATTTTTCGAAACTTCCAAAGGGTTCTCAGCAAAATTCGAGGTGGCGGAGAGTTTTGTAGTCGGTAGTCTATTTCTAAATAGATAAATCTTGACGAATTTACCGCGTTCAAGGAACCGAGACAGCAGGTATTTAGCTGTTTCGACCTCTTTAAAATGCGGAGTATCGACCAGATTTAATGCTTTAACGCTCTCTCTCCTCTCTCTTTCTCTTTCTCTCTCTCTCTCTCTCTCTCTCTCTCTCTCTCTCTGTCACTCTTTCTCACTCTGGCTCTGACGAGTGGTTTTTTCATTGTCACAAATACGCACAAACTAGCCGAGTTATTTTTATCCCCCTTTTCCATCCCGTTTCCAGGGCGCTCCTTTTGACTAATTCTCATCGGATGGGTGACCACCCGCATAGACACCCGCAAAAGGGCGTAATTTAGCCGGGCCGTAGAGGTGACGCTCGGAAACACCGATCCCCTCCGGCTTGCGATGAAAAATGGCGCGTCGTTCATATATTTTTGGCTCTTGCATGGGTGCGTTTTAGCGGGTCTCGCATGTTTTGACGTATGACGTCTGCAGAATAGCGGAATAACTAGGCAGTTATTTTTCTAACTTTTCTAAACCTGGGAGCTGGACGGTCGAAGTAAGGAAAAGCTTTGCTTACCAACGCAGATACGTAGATCCTTACGCGTTGTTGCCCAGTTTTCGGGGTTTTCCGGTCGCTTTTACAATAGTGGCACTGTGCCAAGAATTGTTGCAGAGCCCTGTTTTCCTACTCCTAATTACTCTGAAAATAAATCCTAATTACTTTGAAAATTCTTAGCATTTGATTCTGTTTGGACAGTTTTTACAAAAAGAACGTCAAAAATTTAATCATACCACGAAATGTTTTTCTAAACGGACCGCCAAAAACAAACTTCGAGCCTTGACCCAACTAAAATTTTTGTTCCGTAGATCCTAGTTTTTTTCTTTTTTCCCATTTCTCTGTCTTGCCAAGATGACGTCATCGCGATTATGCGGTTAGACGGAAACACTTGGAATTCCCCTCTTTCACACCCCTGAAATCAAAAAGACATTACACGGCCCGGAGAGCAGGCGGAAATGGCTTTTTGAATTTTGGGTCGAAAGATAACAGGCTGGCTTGTGGTTTCAACTTTTAGGTTCAGCAGTACTTTACTGAACCTCTTTGCCGTTTGAAAACCTAATAACCAGACTTTTTACTGTCTGTTTTATCGCGTATTTACCTTTTTAGGCTGGCGGGATTTTACTAGGCATCTAAAAACAACGAAAATTCACTTTTCCCTATATATTTTTAGCGTTTGTGTTTAAGCTTAATTTTAGGTATACATAGTACTTTACAAAAAACGCCTTTTAAATTTTTGTGTGGTAATTCCTTCGAGTCGTCTTGATTTTTTAGGCGTTAGCTATACGCCGAGACAATGCACTGTTTCATACCGTAATCCTTTTGCGGTTTTACTAGAATTTTCCCTCCTAAAAGTAGAATTCTTGGAAATATGACAACTTCTCATCGTCTGAAAACCCGCTGATTTGGCGTGGTTGGCTGTTTTTGTCAGCCTGCCGTACTTTTCCAATTTCATCCCCCTCCCCCAGCCGGCACCTTTTTCCCAAGGGCTTCCGCGGATTCACACGGCGCTTTTGGCTTCGTTTGAAGTGGCAAGGGTTTTGGAATCTTTTTTTACGATTTTTTAGAATGGCGGAATTGGATCAATGGCTTGACTGTAATTTTGATGATCTTAAATTTTTTAATGGATTTTTCTAGTCGGGAAGTGAAGTCTAGCGAATGGTTTCGTGTTTTCGTTGGTATATTGTAGTGGTAGATTTCATATATTATTTTTTATATTTAATAAATTGCAGTTTGCCGGTCTCCGGAAATTTCGTAATTTTTATCTTTATTTGTTTTTAACCGTTTTTTAAAGGGACTCGCAAACGCCCAAATCGACCCCTGATGTAGGCTAGGTCTCGACGGGTATTTACCACATCAAAAACGCATCCAGTATAATTTTGATTGAGCATTTTATGACGACGAGAATGACCCGACGAGACGAAACGAGACGAGATGAAATTTACATAAATAAACTTCCGAAAAACCCAAACCTACGCAAAGGTTTCGGCATTTTTTTACATTCTTCAGCATTGACGAAATTTTTGACATTGTTATATAGGCATTCTAATTACAATTCGCTACAAACTACAAAAATCCCGAAAACGTTCTGCAGGTAATTTGAGTAGAAACCGAGCAACGAGTAGGTGAGGCCCTAATGAGGGCCCTCGTTAGAACGCAGCCCGCGATCCTTTTCTCATATTTTCCGCTTGCCGCGGGCTACCCACCTGAAATCGGATGCGATGTGGCGGGTGGTGTGGCCAAAAAGGGCCAGGCATGGCTTATTCTGGCGAGACGACTAATTGTTTACCAAAATCGGCGCCAGGAGGGCGAGGATTTTACTTATTTACCTGGAGAAAACTAGATTCAGACAGATGGGTCGGATCTTCGTAAAATGCCAATCCACGAAGCTACCGTAAATCATAAAATTCGTTGAAACAGATGGTGATTTTCATAAATTTTTAAATTTATGGAATTTTTATAGGATTTCAATTAAATTTCAATTTGAAATTTTTGTTGTGTTTTCTTGCAACCCTGATTTTATTCAAAGCGCACCTATGTACGGCCAGAATACAATTCCAATACCATAATTACGGGGCATTTCAATTTCAGTGAACCGGCTATTAGTCCAAAATTGCCCCCAAGCAGAGTGCATTTATTGGAAAATGAAATACTGGAATAGGATGTTAACTAGCACCAAGATCTCCAAAGAATTCGATTTTTCAGGAAAATCGGTAAATTTTCGCTGTTGTTTTCTAAATTAAAATAATGAAAAGTTTCTGCTGTAGTTAGGGTCAGTAATGTATTAATTATGCGGTTATATCTACAAATTAATGGGCTTATTTTCTTTTTGAACGCATCGAACTTTCGGAAAAATGATGGAAAAATGATATCTCAACAAAAATAGAATTTCGACAAAGGCATTTTCGGCAAACTCATAGCAAATCCGAATAACCTAAATCGGCTTCTAAACATTCGAATACCCTAATATCCGCATTTTTAATAACGCAGCTAAAATCAATTAAAAAGGCAGCTTATATCGGTTAAATTAGGTACCTCAAAACATTCGCTGATCCCAAGTATAATTTTAATTCTCTTACCAAATAAAGATGCGGATTAGGTGCTATTTGGTTCTTTTTATCTGGGTATTCTTTTACTCGCTTCCTCAGCCCTAATCCAACAAGCGGATACCCCCCCTAGTCTATAACTCGCGTCATTTTTATCCGATACTCCCTGCCCAGGCCGGCCAACCTCCCTCATATCCACCTGGGCAAATATACAAACCAGAAAAAAGTGGCGCAGAACAGGTGCTTTTGACCAAAACCCCCCTCTGCCCATGCCCCTGAATTTATGGGTTAAAATTAATGGGCGCTTCAGGGTCGGGTTTTCGAGGGGTAATAACTCATTTGAAATATAGCTTGCTCAAACTTTTCCAGAGGTCCCCTGTGTTTTGGGGCCTATAATTCTGTATTTTTTGTTGTTGCAAAAACTGCTTTAGGCTTATAATTTGTATGAATTCCGATAAACTGACCATTGATAACTAACTTATGATTTTTACAGGGAGTGAACAGTTGAGCCGCAGATTATTAAAACCGACTGCTAGCCACATTCTCAAAGAATCGCTTTTAAAAGGTCTCTGCTAGACTACCCTACAAAAATTGCTCAGCGACTCTGCTAGTTTGCCTCATTAAAACTCCCGAAAAAAGTCGGCTAAATTTTTATCAAGTTCCTTCTCAATCTCGCCCATAATCACTGGTAGCCTGTTCACTGAAGTTTCTCAAGAAAGCCTGCCAGGCCGTCCAGGCGTCGAGGCAGGCTAGCATAGTTATTTGCGGAAGCGAGAATTCCCTTGGATTTGATGATCCGCTTGATCTAAATTCTAATATTTTTCATATATATTTTTCCGAAATCAGGAGTTCCATTGGCACAACAAATAATTCCATAAGTTCTCCGCTAGATTGCCTCCGATTTCTGATGTTCCTCTGATCCAATCTTGAGCTCTCCCGCCAATTTCTCAACTTCCTGCTTTGCTTTCCCCCTCCCAACAAACACAGACGCGTCAGTTTTCGGCAAACGTTTCCGCAATTTCAATTATTCGCCGGGCCCATTTTGGGCCCTTGCTGAAGCCCTGGGCCTCTATAGAAAAAGTGCAGAGAATGGGGCCCAGTGCGTGAAAAAAAAGGAGTGGAGAATCAGAGGCCCATTGTTGCCGTGTCGTTGCCGTGACCAAGCTCCCGGCCGGGGAGTGGACAAAAAAGATTTTTCAGTTTTTTCGAAACGACGAATGGCTTGGTCGAGTTGTTTGCGGCTTCATTTTTTCATTGAGTCTGCTAGGGTCTATGTTTAAAAATTGTTTTTAAAGGGGCCGAAATTGCAGGAATCGAGCTTTTTCGTTGTATGGGTTTAGTCAGCAACGCGACGCGCGAAACTACGTACGCAACTTGGCAGGATTTTTTTAACTTATAGGTTCTTAGAAAGCTCATTTTTTGGAGGATTTTCATCTGAGGGAGGCAAAGACACTCAAGACTTTCGACTTTAGAGAGGCTTATAAGTTTAATTCCCAGACCGAAGCTTCCCTGAGCTTGAATTTAAACGGGATTAATTCTTAGGCTTCAGTTTCAGCTTAGCTTTGGCTCAGATTCAGCGCGCGCTTCGGGTAAGCATGTATCTCTCTCTCTCTCTCTCGCTCTTTCTCTCCCTCTCTCTCTCTCTGTCACTCGCTTCTGTCTCACTCGCTGCCTCTCTCTCCCTCTCTCTCTCTGTCTCTCGCTCTGTCTCTCGCTCTCTCCCTATCTCCCTCTCTCTCTCGCTCTCCTTCTCAACTACCATTTCTTGGAATCCAACCTACTTTTCTAAAATTTTCAGAAGTGGACTCTTTTCTGCTCTGCTCCTTTTAATGGCGTGTACCTTGGAGGGTAGCCTGACTCCTTTTTCTTAAGATTTTTTACACCGAGGCAATAATATTTTCTAAAAAATCCACCCCATCCCAGGCTACAAAGCCCACCCCAAAGCCATTTGCCCCACAAAAAACCAAATCCAAAGCCCTCCCTCCGCCCATATCAGTTTCCTGTTCCTTTTTGGGGTAGTTTCTTCTCTTTTTCCCCAGCTTTTTCAAGCTGCCGTGTGGGTCTCCTTTCGGGTCTCCTCCTCCTCCTCCCCTTCCCCTTGGTCCTAAGGGGGGAGGGCCCGGGTCCTTGAGACCCGCGCGCAATCCCATCCTCCCCCCCTCGGCTGCTTCCTCTACTCCTCGAATGCCGCCGCCAAGCAGCTTTCCCCGAAGCCGTCTCATATTTACGGCCACGGCCTGGGATTCGTTATGAGAAATTGAGAATTTTTGGGCGATTGTAGATTTAATATTTTTTGGAATACGTTCTGCATTTTCTGGTTGTTACGACATGTCTGGGGCTCGTTTTGGGTTGCCGGTACCTTGAAAATTTCAGATTTTGACACCAGAATTTTTTCTATGTTTCTAGCCTACTCTGTCTTTCTCTCTCTCTCTTTCTCTTTCTCTCTTTCTCTCTCTCTCTCTCTCTCCCTTCTCTTTCACTATTTTTATCTTTTTCCTATGAATTTTTCTCTTTTGATTCTATCAGCGCTTGAGTTTTAAAAAAACGCGCAACTCTTTTTAATAATTTTAACACTTCGAAAACTGTAAAAATGATATGTTTTTAAGATAAAATCCAGGGTATTTTCCCTAATAACATCCACACACACGCCTTTTAAATTTTTTATGTCTCTCTGGTTGCATCTGAACGCCCACGCTAAATCTTGCAGCCCTTGCAAAGTTTAGTGATAAATTTTGCACGTGTTTCGCAGGATCCTGATGAAAGATTTTGGGCTTGTTTTCGGACACGGATTCTTCGTTTTTAATTAAGTTCCCCTTAAATTTTTACATTTCCAGGCAATGACAGAGCCTCCGCAGCGCCCGAATCTCCGGAAACGGTCTAGTGTGTTTGCCGATGCTGATTATTCGTTTACTGTAAGTATATTTTATACATTTTAGTAGTTTTTCTAATTTTTAATTTCTTTAATTTTTTTTAATCTTGTAATTATCTCCTGATCTTTTACGACGCAACTACTAACACCTTAAATTCTAGTTTCCGGTTCGTCCTGTACCGGCAAATTGGTAGCACTTCGTGTCACCATCCCTTTAAAACCATCATTCATGCAAAGGTCTCACGGTTTTTGATTATTTTTATGCTTGATGGTAACTCGGTAGCATCCCCTAACCTAAGACTTCACTTAATACATGGATCATACTACTCCCAATCCCATTCCAACCGTACTCGTAGAAAATGACTCCACTCCGCCCGTCATCCGCGATATCTCCGATTCCGTATCGCAACTTGAGCCTCCGGGCCAGTTAGAGCCCCCGCCGCCCGTTTCCGCTTCCCATTTTAGCCTAATTGGCGTCGTCTGGGGACTTCAGGCAGGTCGGCTTCTGGTCAGGATGGCCATATCCAGAGAGGGGGAGGGAGGGCAACGCTCTTTTCCTGAACGTACAAAGGTGTGGTCGGAAAGTTCAAAGTAAACGTCTAAATTAGTGGACTGTAGTCTTTAAAAATGTGAAATCTCAAAAATTACAAGTCCTAGGCCAAATTTCCAGAATTTTTGCTATTTTGAAAGTTTTGTGGCACTGCTGACCAGCAAAACATTTTGCGACAGCAATTTCTGACGATTTTTGGCGATTTTCCCCCTCTTTTGCATCCAAAAACCTGGGGCCAGACTGGGAAAACGCGGCAATAAATATTCCCATTCAACGTGTGCCCCACTGGCCAGGCAGCAAACAGTCAACACCCTTAGCAACTTCCCCTTCACGGCCACCGGCAAGTGCCCAATTATCCCGGGGTTCCAAACGGGCATTTCGAGCAGGCGAAGCAATGGGATTAAAATTTTGAGATGAAGCCGCAAAGATCTTCATCGAAAAAGTGGAAAGGTTCTTAAAATTGACAATCTGACAACATCGATATGCAAAAAACCGATTTTCTGATTAGCGGTATTTTTATTAGTATCTAAGAAATTCGGGATATTCGAAGATAGCTTAGAAAAATTTCGAATTTTGCATATTCCTGAGCGACTGACCATTTTTGATACCACCAAGGGAATCACTTAGGAAACCTGGCTTTTTATTATCTTTTGAATAAACGTATAATTCACGATTTTTACCAGCATCTAGGAAATTCAGAATTTTCGAATAAAGTAAGCGAATTTGTTATCTTCGATCCCCTTTTCGGGATTTGGCGTTTTCCGATACCGTTAAGAAAGGTCGTAATTCTGAGGTATCTTAAGGAAATGGGGAGTTTAAGAATTTCGAAGTTTTAGACGTGACTTTGAAAAACGGCATTTTGAAAGTGCGCTCATCGCAAAGTTCAGTTTGCAAATATCGTTTCCGAATTTCAGCCTAACAAACACAAGAAACCAAAAAACAAGCCGGTTGGCTCGATTTGCTAGAGGAAGTTGACCCGGATGTCCAGAGAACCCTTTTCCTCGCGTGGAGTTGAGGGTGGAGGATGGGAACAAATCCCCGGGGAGCGCTTCTGCCCCAGGCTTTTCTGGGCCCCCACTGCCCAAAAATCCAGAAAACACACACAATGTCGCGATCGTGGCAGGGAAATACTGGTTGGGGGGTTAGGAGTAAGCCTGGGATTACTTTAAAACGTGCTTCAATCGAAATTCATGGAAGATTCGAAATTCATGGAGAAATTTCAAATGCAAAAATCTGGATACTGGGATAAGTGATTTTTCGGTTTGCAAAACCTTTTAATGCCAAAAATCGGAATGTAGGTTGGATAAATCAGCATACAAATTATCAACATACAAAATGCAGATTTTCCTAATAATGCCCAATGTGCATATGACCCTGATCCAAAAATTTAATTTTAAAAGCTTGAATGCTGTATGCATTCAAGAATAATTAAATATAAATTCAATTTTCAAAATAAGTATGCTGGTTAAAAACGTCTATTTTTATCCAAAATTTATTAGCAAGCAACAGTTTAGACCCCCCTTATGCTAATTATGTGCAAAATTTTTCAAGACCTTTAATTAAACATTATTAAAATCGGATTGGTTTTGAAATTTATGATTTTATGCTATTTAATAATGAGATATAGATATTTAAAACTTATTTTTTCAAACTAAGCATGTCCAATCTAGCACCAGAAAAATCATAATTTTTTTTTTGTGTGGCGCTTGTCGTCCACCTCATCTGGCTTTCTCTCTCTCTCTCTCTCTCTCTCTCTCTCTCTCTCTCTCTCTCTCTCTCTCTCTCTCTCTCTCTCTCTCTCTCGTTCCCTCTTTCTTGATGCAAATAAGCATCCGTTTTTTGCTTACGGCCTACTCCCACAATTTCTGACTCGCCTGGATATCCGAGTACATCTACCCCCTAGCCAACCTATGCTCTCCGCGGGGGCAATTTGAGGTGAGGGTCGGCCCGAGGGGTGAAGGGTCGGCAAAAAAAAGAAAGCAGAAGCCAAGGGAGGAGAAGTCGGGTCGAGGGCTCCTTTTTTTAGGGCACCAAACCCGACGCCTCATTTGTCAGAATGCCGCTCACAATCCGACTCGCTCGCGGGGAGTCGTCGGCTTTTTGCGGCGCCATTTGAGGCTCGGGAAAAACCTGGGGTTCTCTGGTTGGAGGATGACTGACATCGAGGTATCTGATTTACGGGCAAAATTTTGCGGTTGCAAAGAGGGGTATATTAGGGTGTATAAAAGGCAAGCTTGCCTAAAAAATTCCCGCTTGCTTCTACGCACATCCGCTTGATCTGGTGAAGAGAGGACACAATTTGCCAAGGAATCTCTGCTAGCTGGCCCTAGCTCGTAGTCAGTTACGTCCATTTGCTAAAGAGAGGCTACGAAATTCCCCAAGGATCCTTGCTAAAAATCTTTGTCGTGCGTACCTCGATCTCAGCCAGTCCAAGATTTTATCAAATAACCACTGCTAGTTTGCCCGACAAATAGGCACGCGAATTGGCATCCAAATCGCTTAAATTCCGTAAGAATCTCTGCTACCAGCCCTGACGCATTCAGTTCGTTGCATCTGAAAGCGCAGCGTTTTTAAGCTTTTCACACAGCATTAAACTAGCTATCCTGCAAACAATTCAACGTAATTTCCTAAAGAATCTCTGCAAGCTACCTCGCAAGTCACGTGCGGGATTTATTGTGAAATTGAGGTTTTGAATCACGGTCCGATGTTAGCTCTATCAAGTCCCACTGCGCGTTCCCTCGCTAAATCCAAGCGTTCAGCCCTTCAGAATTCCCAGAATCGTTGGAACATCTTGTTTACGTGCTCTTCTCAAAAGCCCCTTGCGTTGCACAATGCTCCAACAAAATGGGATTGGCGTGAAATTCTCCTCGGCTTTTATCCACGGGGGCCCGGCTTGCTTCCTGAAGGCGACCTCGCTGACAAAATCCCATTTTGGGTTGAGGAGGCTCTTCAGCCGAGAGCGTTTTTTGAATGTCTCTCTCTCTCTCTCTCTCTCTCTCTCTCTCTCTCGCTCTCTCTCACCGCTTCAGGGTCGCCCTAGGCGTGTGTGCGCTCTAGGAGGAGCGAGTAACGACGTTTGCGCGAAAGAAAATTTTGAGGAGGCGCAGCAAAAATCAGGAGTGGCGGCTGGGTAGTTCTAAAAAATAGAAAGAGAAAGGATAGGACTTCCGCTTCAAAAAGAAGTATAATGACGATTGATTTACTGGGATAATGCCCAATATCACAATGTCGAAAGTCATAATGTCGAAATTTTCCCATGAGATTTTGGGTATTTCCGGCACGATATTTCAATCCTGCTAAATACGGACTTCTAAGCTTACTTACCACCCCTAGGCTTAACCTTCTCCACATCCCTAAGGACGTCTCTGTCAAGTACACGCTCAAGCACCTCCACGGATCAAAATACCAATTCCCAAAACGTTCCGTTGCTCTTTAAGGCGATTTTCCAGCGGGTAATCCGAGAATCTGGGGGGTGACGCGACGTCCAGTGGTTCCCTAAAAGCTGCCCCCCTTTCAGAGCTGGTCAAAGCCCAGGTGCCCAATTATGGCCCTAGAGGGTTCGGGGAACCCCCGGGAAGAGCTCTAGCAGAAAAGATCAAGCAAAAAATGGCCATCAAGGTCAAGGGGAATTTGGGAGACTAAGTGCTGACAACATTTAGGAAGTAAGAAAAATGTTGATGAGGAAGTAGGTGTCGAAAAGTATGTTGAAAAATATGAAAATCTATGAGACAAGCAGGAAAAGGGCGCGCAAAATTCTAAACTAAAATGGAAATCGTCCAAAGAAGCGTAAAGAAGGGTATATAAAAGCTAAGGAACGGAAATATTTAGCTGATAAAACTTCCTTTAACGTACATTTTAATAACACAGCACGAAGCGTATCAAAATTATGAAAAAAGAGCAAAACTAAGGGCCGAAAAGCTTGCCTTAAAAGTATACATCTTTCACTAAACGCCTCGTTTTGCAGGTAATGCTTCTCGGGGACAGCTGCACCGGCAAGACCTGCCTTTTGATACGATTCAAAGACGGGACATTCCTGAATAATAACTTTATCTCTACAGTCGGAATCGATTATCGGAATAAGCTTGTCAATGTCGATCAGTCGAAGGTGAAGCTACAGGTAAGACCTTTTTTTTGTTTCATACGCGGATTGCTCAATACAAAAAAAAAACTTTTAGTAACAAGAAAGGTAAAATAGAGCATATGGAATTGCAAAGTCCCTATTTGTCATTTTAGATCTGGGACACTGCCGGTCAGGAACGATTCCGGTCAGTAACGAGCGCCTATTATCGAGATGCCGATGCGCTTTTACTCGTTTATGATGTGACGAGTCGACAGAGCTTTGACAATATTCGGGTATGTTTTGTCAAATACACAAAAGGATGCAGAATAACGTAAAAATGCCTAGCGTACTTCATATACAAAAATCAACACAATTTTCACACTAAATTCGGACCTATGCGTTGATCATAAACGCCTTTTTGCGCATTAATGAAAGTCTTTGACGCGCTTCTTACGTACGCTAGCTTCTATTTGACTTTTTTAAACTAAACAAATTTAAAGATTTTCAATACTCATCCATTTTAGAGCTGGCTTGCCCAAATCAAGGAATACGCAAAGGAAACCGTCGAGGTGACGATAGTTGGGAATAAAAGTGATCTCGGCGGACAGAGAAAAGTGAAGATTGAGGAGGGCAGGAAATTGGCAGCTGTAAGTTTCGGAAATTTCCATTTAACGTATTTTGTATTTTTTATTTAAAAAAAATAAAATTAAAAAATGTTTTCAGTCCTACAATATCCCCTACATCGAGACATCCGCCAAAACGGGGCACAACGTCGAGTTGGCGTTTAATGAATTAGCTAGGTAAGTGTTATCATAGTTTTAAAAAATCAATAATTTATGCACCATAAAAGTTATTTTTAGAAGATTGGTGGGTGCCGGCTCCTCAGGCCCTGCAGACGGCACATCAGCGGTGATCGATCTGGCGACGAATCAGAAGGCGTGGGCCAGCTACGGGTACGGGTGCTGCGGCTCACACTGAGGTATCGTTTTATTAAATTTCGTCCCTTCTTGAGGATAGCCAGAGCTAGTTGTTACCGTCCTTTTTAAAACTTATATTTAAGGTTTTTAATCGTAATAACTTAATTTTCTAGCTTAGTTTAATCAGTTATTTTCCTTAAAAGTCTTCATTGCTTTAGCTGGGATTTTCTTCAGCTGCTTCTTGCTGGTATTGCCCCAGAAAACAAGCGAGATTTTATACAGTCTGCTTTTTAATTACGTTTTGAAACAGTAGAAATAGTTCAAATAATTAAAAGCTATGCTTGAATATACCTTTAGAGCGCGATAACGTCGAAATTCCAAAGTTTTTAGAGCATTTCGGCGGTTTCAAGGATTTTAAAGTTATGATAATTCAAATATATCTTATAACTTTCTTTTTGTCTGCTTAAGAACGTTATTCTATTACTTTTAGATAGCCCAACGATTCCGAAAAAAATCCAAAAGACGAGCTGAATCGGCCGGCAATACACGACACTTACACTGGGTACGCAATCCTTGCCACACACATCCTTTCCCTTATCCATTAGACGATGAACAAAATCAATTCCCCAATGGCTTTAATAATTGTATGTCATTATAAATGCATTTTCTTGATTTATCTATTTTCTACTTGTTTCCGATCCATTTTCAACCTGTTTTTGGTGTTTTTCTCTACCTGTTCCTTCCCAGCGGTGTGCCAATAAACGAATTCTGCCCATTTTATGGAAAAATACGATAAATATATATTTTAAGGAGGTTGGAAAGCGTAATTATAAAAATTACGAGAAGAAAATTGTGAAGACGAAATTGAAATTATTTAGAGGTTTTAGACAAAATCAAATTAAGTACGGTTTTAAAATTTAGAGGCCATGTTTACTCATATTTAATTTTTGTTACGTGAAGATATCTACAACAAATTTTATGTCAACCCCCTCAATTTTTAAGCGACCACTGGGCCACCGGCCAATCAAATTCCACCAATTTCTCCCGAAAAAGGTGTAGGTGGGTTCCGAACGATCTATTCGTAATCGCCACACTACGACGACAATAAATTGAATTTTTGCCAAAAAAATATTGGAGATGACGCGCCGGGTGCCGAGAAGAACGGGTGAGCACGTGGTACTACCGGAAGCTGAAATTTTAAACTCTATATTTATGTGTTCATTTTCAGGCTGCTTCTTGCGAAAGGTTCTGGTTGTCCAAAAATTTTCAATTTGGTGATTGTCTCGTGATAATTGCAACGAAGGCAGAAAAGGCCTCGGGGGGTTTTTGTGTTATTTTGTAAACTTTAATATTTTAAGAAGCTCACAGATGCCCAAAAATTGCATATTCTATTTTTCATGTAATTACTTTAAGTGAAAAGCAAAAATTTGAATTATTTCAGTAAAAGTATCGCAGCTATCTAGCCTGAATTCTACCAATATTTTTCCGACAGAAATTTTCTAGAGGTGCGCAATAAGTTCACCGATATCGTTCACAAAACTTGTTGACGCTCGAAACAAATGAGATAATTCTAATACGATTTCAGCATGTGTGCAAAATCCAACGTCAAACTTCAAAGGAAACACGAGCACTTTTTCAAAAAATCCTCAGGGCACAATTTAGGGCATAGAAAAAGCGGAGTGATGTATTTTGTCTGTCTCGATTTGGGCTGGATTTCACTTGGATACAAGCAGCTTTTCCACGAGCGTAAGATTCGGCACTTTCAAAAAAATTATATCCGGGGACGCTAGCAGCGATTTCTTGAGAAAATAATTTTTAAATATCGTTTGATTCATCATTTCGTTAACTATAGTACTGGAGCCAAATCCTCATCCCGCCCAAAAAGGTACACTATGCTAAATGGCCGTGGGGGATGCCCTGTTTCACTCAACAACAACTTCTCTGCCGGGATGCATAAATAATTTGGCGTAAGATCCGGGATGATGATTGTGGGAAGTCCCCGATGTTAATCCACGGAATTGGCGTCATCTTAAGATTCGGAGATTTGCGTCTTTGGACCTTTATCCAAGTTTTTGTGTAAGTTTGTATAGCTACCTTTATCTCTCGCGCTCTTCCCCTACTCTATCGCTCTCTCTCTCTCTCACTCTCTCACTCACGCTCTCACTCACTCTTTCACTCACGCTCTCACTCACTCTCTCAATGACCCTTTCACTCTCTCTCTGCCTCTCCTGTCTTTCTTGACTCTCCTTGATCGCTCTCGCGTTCCTCTCTTGCTTCACAGAAAGCTTACTACGGTAGTTCTCAAGCAATCCCAGCAATTCCGACACGCTTGGCATTTCCAACCCACATCCCTAACCTTTAGTCTGATGCAGACATAATAAACCGGGCCCCCCGCGCCACATGCAGACATCACGTAACCATCCCCCGCTCGCCGAGCTTCATCTGAAGCGCCGAAGCGTTGCCCCAAAAACCCTATGGCTTCTGCGGCTCGTCACCATTTCCGTTTGCTAAAAGGTGCGCGCAGCGAGGGGGAATGCGATGGTCCCCCGAGCGGCCCTAGAATAATGGAATACCTTTTGTGGGGATGGGGGGCCACCCACACATTACCGCCCACTTGTCGAAGACGCGGCAGGACCCCTGGCATTTGGCTTTTGACTGCTGCTAAAAGCTGCCCTTTACGGATCCGGTCGGCCTACTTTTAGGCGGGTTACTGTAGTCTGGCTAGGCCTATGCTGAATTATCGGCTTAACTTTTGGCTTGACATTGGGCCCTTTACGGAACAGGGCCGGCTTATTTTTGGGTAGCCTACCGTAACCCTAAAGCTTTAGAAATATGTTTATCGAGGGGCTTATGGGTTTCATTAAGACATTTTTCAAAACGCTACGGCAAACCTGACTGTTAAAAAATGGAAGACCATGTGGAAGATAAGAACTACGACGTCTATGCACCATCAATCCGCTTGCAGTTGAAGTACGTTGGCTAGCGATCTCATTTTGGCCTATCATATCGTAATCTAGAGCGCATAATAAGTATGTACGCTCATTACGCGCGTCACGCTACACTCTACACAGGCTTGAGCAATTTTTTAAGGTTTCATCTTATGCAATTTTCTCTGGCTACCGTCAGCTCTTGTACTTCAAACACTCACCCGTGCTTCTCCCGACCTATTTACGGAAATTATCGCGGCTATTCTGGTATCGGGAAGTGCGGCGTGTATCAGATTTCCGTTCGGCCCTTTTTGCTCCAGAAACGCCACCGCAACTACCGCATGCTTACGTAGATCGGATAAGTAGGAAGCTGATGGTGGTCAGACCAGATTTTTCAGCTTTTTCAGACACCCTATTTCGCGAAATCTTTTTTGGCCTCATAATGTTAAAGAAAAGGCAATCCTCGTGTCGCTGTCCCTTTAAAATTTGCCTAGAGCCTCAGAATCACGGCGTCAAGACGTTCGGACCGCAAGCATTCAATAGACTTTCAAACCCTTCGCTGGGCAAATCAATTAGGATATTCTCTAACCACACTGGAGCTGCACTTCCCAACTTCCTGAAGCTGTCCAAAAATGGAACTGGCTGATTCATTCCTGTCAAGAAAACGCATTCACCGCTTAGCCACCCTGTTCCGCTGGGCCAAAGTGACGTTTCATAAGGCCATCTAGTAGCCTGGAGGGTTGGACCAGGTGCAAAAAAAACGACTTCATCGGCACGTCTGGTGTTCCTGGTAAGGCAGCGCATTTCAGCTGTGAGGTGTTAGGGGTGTAGCGTACTGTAGCAAGGTCCGCTGATAAGTTGTCTGGCTATGAGGTTTATATCCTTTTTATGTCATACCTTAGCCGCTCATATTGGGATTACGGTAATCACCCTTTGTGCAAAACTTTTGTGAACTTCTTGAGCTCCTCGAGACGAGAAGTTCGTTGTGACGCGTTGAAGAGGTACTCTTCTACTAGGTACCCTTTCGTCCCGTAACCTCCTCCAAACATCGAGTCTTCTAAAAACCTGGGGCGCCCCTGGCCCGCTTGCCAGGATGTAGCTGTGGCTGACTGGTATCCGTCCACTTTTTTAGACGCTATCAGGCCTTTTTGCCAATTTCGTGCTCGAGAACGTCGCTCCAAAGTTCCTCCCATCATCCCAAAAAGCCTCCTATTGGCCAGGCCAGTCATGAGAGCTAATTTCCAATTACCCTCCCGCTTCCCTCATTTTCTGCAAACTCATCGAACCGGCTAGTAATTCCACTCTGACACACCTCATCTCTTCCAAAATTCTCCAGACGAATAATTAGTTAGGGAAAAGTCGCCATCCGAGGTAGGGGATCACCTATTCTTTGGCCAATTAGCCTTCGACAATTCGTCACCTTTTTCCACGCTGCTAAAATGGCATTTTCCGTTTTTTACTCCTAACGCCTTCCGCGCGACCGGCTGCTCAGGAAAAATGGGCTTCGAACGCTTATATGAGGCTTTTTCGTCTTTCATCGTCTTTCGATCTCTCTCTCTCTCTCTCTCTCTCTCTCTCCCGCCAGACCGCCCCAAACATTAATCAAATCTCCTCCCGGCCGATGAGATAAATAAGCGTGCGTGGAGCCACGTGAAGCTCGGATTTTGCACGAAATGGCACTCAAAAAACTCTGAAATTTTGCTAATTCCTCGAATCCAGAAGTAGCGAGGTGCCTACATGGACTTTGGAGCATTTCGGAATTTTTTAGGCAAAGCGAATTCCCCGAATAATTATTGCCACAGGAACAAAGTGGTTCCGCCACGCGCGATCCGAACTCGTCATTTTTGTGCAAAAGCTCCAGTCCAAATCGCTAAAACTGGACGTCAAGCTTTGCTTCTTCTTATTTTTTATCGTTCGAAAAACTACCTTTTTATTTTGCTTCAAACCTGGAAAACATTTATTTCAGAAATAGGCTTCCATTTCTAACTAAAAAATATGTAGCAAGGGAGTTTAGGTAATTGGTAATTTTTTTAATATGTTTTGCCCAAAAACTGACTTTGCAAAATGTTATACTGTAGATCGCATCAAAAAGGGACTAAAAACCCGGATTGCAAACAGTAGTCAGTAATCTACTGTAATCACGAGTTTTTGCAACGTTTTAAAGAATCGCCTATGGAGGAAAAGCCACATGAATAAATCACGGATTTGATAATTGTGCTTTTCTGTTGCTATGTTCCGCCGAAATTTTACATGAAATATCGCTCCAGGTAACCCCCAATATAAAATGGCCTCCATCGTCTCATCATTGTGTCTGCTGCTCGTGTTCTGCCTGAGCGTCGAGGCCGTGTTCTTGCCAAATCTCTATCAGCCAAACGAGGACGGGATGGCCGGCGCCGCCGAGAAGCGCATGAGCCGCCAGGCGTTGATTCGGCTCATGATCCAGTGAGTTATATGAGTTTTATGGTTAAATAAGGTTGAAAAATGCATTTTTAGCGCCCATCATGGAAATTATGGAAAATTCTTAGAATTAGGAATTTATGTATCCTTCGGACAATCATTATAATTTCGGTGCATTTTTGCATTACTAAAAGCTTAAAAATCCTGATTTTAAGACTAGGATGTTGAGGATTCATAGAAAAATATATAATTCCAGGCTCTACAAACATTTCTATTTTTAACGATTTCTAATTCCAAAAACCGTTGATTCTTTCTTTTTTGTTTATATTTATATTCCTAAATTTGCAAGAGCGAATTCCAAAAAAAATATCATGAAAAAACCACACGAAAAACGAGCAAAATCGAAAAATTTGGGCCGACCCCTATCGCGTCACCCATTGGCTGGGGCAGTCCCTAGGGAAGAGGCGGGAAGGGAACGGGCAACCCTTGTCATGCCCTCCCCAGTCCATCCACTCGCCGCCCGGTTAGCTCAGTCGGTAGAGCACCAGACTCTTAATCTGGTTGTCGCGGGTTCGAGCCCCGCATTGGGCTTACTTTTTGCTTTTTGCGCGAAAAGCTTGGGGAGGTATTGGAAACCAATTTTGAATGCTTTCATACCTTCATTTTATTTTTTTCAGGCGTGACCGGCAAGCGTTGGGCGCCCACGGGCCGATCAAGAGGAGTGTAAGTTTTCTTTATTTAGTTATAAAAATAATAGTTTTAATGGAATTTTATAACCTTTGGGCCCGCTGTTTAAACTTTCGATACAATCCAAACGTTTGAATCGGGAATTAGCGCCGTCGGAGCGCGCAGAAATGGCTTGCATAAACGAGCGTGACATTTTGATGCGCGGTTCAGTGACCGGAAAGGGGGATGCGTTTAGAGGAAGGTAACATCGTTCCAAAAAGAGAAATATGCAGAAAATAGTCGGAAAATAATAATTTTGCAAAAGATATGTTTTGAAAATGTTGATTTCTAGAATACCTATCTAACAAAATACCTCTTTACCCAATCAATGCCGCTTTACGAGGTCCAAATTGTCAATTCACCAAACCAAAAGGAATTCCAAAACAGCGATTTACAACACCAGGTTTGTTTTCAAGGGTTTTCATGGCTTCACCGGTTTTTATCTGCTTGAAAATTCAAAATATTATAACTTTAAGCCCTGGTTAAAATAAATAAAAACAAAGTCGGAACCCGAAAACCCGGAAATTCTAGGTGTCGGGGACGGCGCTTCTGAAGCCGTCCGGCAAACTCCGGGGTGGCTCTGGACTCATGTGAGAGAGGCGTAGTGTAGCGTTTTTGAAAATTGCTGATTTTTCTTAGCTTTTGCTTTTTAAAACGCTTGACGAGCTTAATTGTCGAAAAATCGCACTGGGGCCGTATAATCACAAAGTTTCCCAAAAAAAATTTTTTGCTTAAGCTCTTAAAATGCTTTGCATGTTGCTTAAATCGTTATTTGTGAGTTTTGAAAGTTTTTCGTGTCAAAAAAAATTTAATATTGTAAGAATTTGGGCAAATCTAAAATTCTTCATATAAGGAAACTGAGCGTAATCTGAAATTTGGTCCAATTTGGAAAGCCAGCAGAGATTTCTTGGGAATCGATCACCCCTTTTCTCTTTTTGCATTCGAAAGCGAGGTTAGCAGCGATTCCTAAGTAAAGCCCATTTAGGAAGCTTACGCCGCAACCTAAGCCTAGGCCTAAGCTAAGCCTAAGCCTAAGCCAAGCCAAAGCCTAATCTTAATCCTACGCATAAGCTGAAGCCTCAACTAATCACTTCGGGAGTTCAGCGATTCCTAAGTAAACCACATTTTTTTTGACTTCCGCGCCCTTTAAAAACCCAAAATTGCACTAAAACGTTCAAATTCTAGCCGCTTTGTCCCTAGCTTCCTCTAGCTTGCTTGTCCCGCTTCAAAATTTATATTTTTACAGCTGGAAGTGGACCGACGGAGCATCGATGCCGCCGACGACTTCCAGAATTGCTTCCTGTCCCCGGTGCAGTGCATGATCTCGCGGAAACGGCGGTGAACACCGCGATGCGTACGCGCGCTTTACGGCACTGTACTCTGTACGGTACCGTACCGTGTGTAATGTACAAATCCGGCCCCCACTTTCCCTGATTCTCAGATCAGATACCCCCAAAAATGAAATACTGATGTAGAGCTGTCCTCCCCCCACTTTCTGTCCCCTCCCCTTTCCGTTCTGAAGGCGCAATAAAAATCTTTGTTAAAAAGTACAAGACGGAAAAGTGTTGGAGCAAATAAAGTATGACATACGCAGATGGCAGTTTTTGAGGAAAACCAAGAAAAGCACGTGAAAAAAAACGTTTTAAAAACATCCTCGTTATAAAATTCCAGAATTTCCAGTCTAACAACCTAAAAACACAGAACCGAAAGCAAAAATAAAGCTTAGAGGTTTTTGAAGGGAGCGTGACAGGCAACAAGCTACAAAAAACCTGTCACAGTCATCTAAAGGGTTTCAGAAGGCAAAAACTAGAAGTATTTCTAATTAGAAGTTTTAGGTTGAAGGCTTTCTAATCGACAAAAACCGCCTAAGTTTTTCCGAAAATCCGCAACTAACGTTTCGATTTAAGACTCGATTACTTCGATTATTATTTATGATTTGATTTTTCGATTCTGAAAACGTTTTATGACTCTAGTAATTGTGATTTTGCCTTACCAGTCCCTTTAAAACAGAAAACACGGATGCGTAGTTAATTGTAAGACGGAACATTGTCGAATCCGGGGCGCTTGAAGAGACGTTCGGCATTTTTGCCCTTCGGCTGCTCGACGGCGGCGACGGCCGGGATTCGGGATTGACTGAAAGGATAGATGAGTTTCCTTAAGCTTCATGAGCTTCAAATTTCAGCCCAAAACTTCCTAGAATTTAAATAATGAAAATAATGTTCTTCTACCTGATCTCGGCAATGGAGTGATGCGAGACGGAAGCTCGGAGCGGAGGTGGCATGTCGATTTCTTCCATGTTATCGGCAACGAAAGGTCTGGAATCCGGTTCTAATCCTAAGTCCAAGCCCAAGCCCAAGCCTAAGCCTAAGCCTAAGCCTACGCCTAAGCCTAAGCCTAAGCCTAATAAGCCTAAGCCTAAGCCTAAGCCTAAGCCTAAGCCTAAGCCTAAGCCTAAACCTAAGCCTAAGCCTAAGCCTAAGCCTAAGCCTAAACCTAAGCCTAAGCCTAAGCCTAAGCCTAAGCCTAAGCCTAATAAGCCTAAGCCTAAGCCTAAGCCTAAGCCTAAGCCTAAGCCTAAGCCTAAACCTAAGCCTAAGCCTAAGCCTAAGCCTAAGCCTAAACCTAAGCCTAAGCCTAAGCCTAAGCCTAAGCCTAAGCCTAAACCTAAGCCTAAGCCTAAACCTAAGCCTAAACCTAAGCCTAAGCCTAAGCCTAAACCTAAGCCTAAGCCTAAACCTAAGCCTAAACCTAAGCCTAAGCCTAAACCTAAGCCTAAGCCTAAGCCTAAGCCTGAACGCAACCATACTCCTCTGCCTTTTGTGCGCTCTGTATCTGATCAAAGTCTCAAAATTAAAATGTCTTAAGCTAGGCGTTGGTTGGATTTTTGGTTTTTTACGTCTGGCAGACGTCACTCTGTATTTTCCGGTGCATTTTCCAACCTGGGACGTTTTTGGAGGAAAAGGATTTATTCTCGTGCTTCGTCAAAATTCTTGAGAAAAAGAGTGGTCGTGGGGTGTACACCGGAAAACACAGAGTCGTCAGCTGATCAGGGAAGAGATTACGGTAGTGTTTCTTTGTTTGATTTGCTAAAAGCCCTGAGAAGAGGGGGTAAAATCATAAAATCAGGTGGTTTGAACTGAATAGTTTTTGGCAGTATTTGAATGCAAATCGGTTCGATTTTTAACCATTTTTGAAAAGTTATAAAAGTTACGAGGCTGAGATTCATTGCTAAAAATTCCTATTGCTTGCTATCTTTTCTCAGTTATCTACAGGATTGTAGGAAGCGATCTGTTCATGCTGGGACCTGTAGAATGCCTTCTGGGCTCGCTGGGGGACCAAGGGCTCCAGCTCCTTCACGTCAGAGTCGCCGGCGCGCGAGATCTCGTGCTCGGAGCGCTGAAATGAGGCGATAAAAGCTGTAAAAATATCTCTCTCTCACTCTCTCTCTCGCTCTCGCTCTCTCTCTCTCTCTCTTCTCGAATTCAGTAAGTACGCTTGTGCCAAGTGCCAATTTCTGCAATTTTTTGTAGCAGCTGCATTCATTCTGCAAAAACAGCAACATCACCACCCATTTTTCCCCCTTACGTTTTTGCCATTGAAACATCATAGACACCTTTTTACTTGTCTCGTTTCCAGCCGGCTAGGCCTGGGAGCTTTTTAGAATCCCGTCACGCGAAAATAATGGCACAAGTACTTTTCATCTGCTTCTCTCGCTCTCTCTCTCTCGTTCTCTTTCCTCTCTCTAATTGTTGCTAATTTTCACCTGGATAATCTTGATGGCCTGCGGCGCCTTCAGGTTCTCCTCGCTCATCGGCGAGGGCTCGAATTTCGCTAAAATATTTGGGTAACAGCTGCATTTTATGCATAATTCTATAAAACTTTATTATCAGCACCACACAACATGCGGGGGCAAAGAAATCGGCAGTAATGGGGTTGGAATGAATTTTGAAGGTTTTTAGGGTTTTACAGGGATTGGTAATTTTTAGGAAATTAGCATATGTACAGGGTAAAGTCCTGAAAGGGAGAGAAAGAGAGAGAGTGAGAGAGAGCGAGAGAGAGAGAAACTGCAAGAACATGCTGTTTTTAAGGCAAAGTGAAGACAGACGGTTACAGATCAAATATTTGTAAGATTTTGGGACAAAGAAAAAGGTCTTTAAGGTATTTTAGTCGGTTTTTAAGAGGTCGGACAGGTAATATATCATTAAATCGGGTAAAAGTAATATGCAAAACATGCTAATCCAAACTTGACGTTTAAAGGTATCTCCTCCGGCGCTCGAACTCGTCCTCCTCATCGCTGGCCTCCCTTTCGTACCGCACCTCACTCTTGAAGCTCTCCTCGACGGTCTCGTGCCTCGTGTGGTGAACCACAGAGTCCCCGGAGTCCGACCCGGAATACCGGCGGTTGCGCTCCGCGTCGGCGCGCAGACGATCGAGCTCGTCCCGTTCGCGCCTCATCCTCTCGCGCTCACGTTCCATCCTCTCGCGCTCCCGTTCCCGCTCCAACTCCTCACGCGCGCGACGCTGCTCCTCGAGCATGGCCATCTCGTCGCGCCAACGGTCACGATCACCGTAGGGGCTCGAGTACTTCTCCTCCTCAACGAGATGGGAGCGATCGAGCCCGTTCTCGGTCAGCGTTTGGTAGGCGTTCTTTTCTGGAATTGGGGTAGGAGGTTAGGCATGCGGAGGGAAAATGAAATTTTTTTTTGTTTGTTGGGAAAAATAGGTTATTTACTATTTGCTCTGCAAAGTATCTTTTTAAAAAAAGCTAGAAAAATAGCCATCGAATTTCGGTTAGAAGGGGGCCCACTAATTTCCGGAGAATGCGCATGAATCCCTAATATTTTCCTTTGAATACCTTTTTGATCACTTCGTAAAAAAATCAAGTATTCATTACTGCTCAAAAATTTTGTTAGAAATATTCTGAAATTACCTTTGATACTGCCCACATTTTAGTAGGTTCAGACCGTATTTTTTCATAAAACAGTTTTTATTTATCGCCCCTCCCCTCTTACCTCATTACGCCTTTAAAATGTAAACTTTAAATTATTATTAGAATTTAAATTAAGCAAAAAATACAACAAATTGTTAAGCGTTTCCTGAGCGCTACCTTTTGAACGTCGCGCCAAAACAGGTGTCGATCAGGGTGCCAATGACGCAGCGGGGGGGCCCCTATCCCCATCTAGCCCGCCCGTTCTCAACCCTCGCCGCCCGGTTAGCTCAGTCGGTAGAGCACCAGACTCTTAATCTGGTTGTCGCGGGTTCGAGCCCCGCATTGGGCTTACTTTTTGCTTTTTGCGGGAAAACCTTGGGAAAGCCTCCAGAATGCATATTTGATACTTTTACACTCCAATTTTCTATTTGGAAAGGTTGGGAAAAGAGTTTTTGGTGTATTTTAGTTTGGCTTAAGGATTGTCGGTGTTATTTGAACTCGCAAACCATGCTTTCAAATGAAAGAAAATTGTATGATTGCCAGATAACTTACGCTTCTTCGGGCGTGACTTCAAGTACTTGGCCAGCAAGTAGGCAAGGGTGAGCAGCAGGGCGAGCAGCAGAAGTGCCGCCAGGATGATGAAGATGACCATGAGCCTAGAATTTTGGTTAGTTTACGCTTTTAGAGATGTCTGGAGTACCATAGCGGAATCGTGGCTTCCTCCGGTACGCAACAGACACGTCCGCAGCACTGCAGGTCGGCGTTACATCTAAAATTTAGAAACCTAAATCAGAAATTCCTTTGAATTTTTACCTGAACTCGTAGCGCTCGTTGCGACCCTGGATACCGCCCTCCTCGAAGATGCACTGGATGAAAGCTTTGTCGTAACTGGAATGGGCGTGTTTTAAAGGGCCTAGGAAGGCAGAAATGCCCGAAAAAATAGATCTATGCTAATGATCAAACGTTGAACTTACCCCGAAAATCTCGAATTTCGTAGAAAAGTTTAAGGCTCATTAAGAAATCAATATAATTTCTGAAATTCAAGTCAAAACCGAATAGGTAAATAGGTTAATTTGCATAAACCTTACCCCTCGTAGAGGATGCCCTTGCTCTGGCCCTGCAGCAGGATTTCCGTCATCCTGTCCTGCGCTTCCTGCTGCCGCACCGAGATCAGCAGGGCGTTTCTGTGGGTCCTGAAAATGGGTTATTTTGATTTAGAAAAAGCAAAAAAAAACAAGAAATTCCAATCCACAAGCTCTGAAAAAATTGGTCTTTGCGAACTACCAATAATCAACAGGAGCTTCAAAAATAGCGAAATAGGGAGAAAGAGAGAGAGACAGAGAGAGAGAGAGAGAGAGAGAGAGAGCGCGAAACTATCTTCTGAAACAGACCACTTTGAAGCATTCCGAACCCTTCTATATTCAAAATTTTTGTTGAAAACAAAAAAATCATATGCCGATCGATATTTCTACGCACGACCGCCACAGGTAGTAAACCGCCGCATCGTAGTCGTGATTTCTCAAAAAGGGGGATAGCTGGGGATAGCTGTTTTCTTCGGGCATCATTGTTTTCTTATTTCCCCCTCTCGCCCCGCAGTCAGCCCGAAATGGCGGTGGATGGGCAAATTTCGGTGAGGAGGGTGGACGGGGTCCGGAAAAAGGGGCATCGAATAGGCAAGACGGGCAACCCAAGGTCGGGACCACACCCCTAAAAAGAAGGGGAGGTGGACGAATGGACAGACAGGGTGGTGGACAGACAAATTGGACTGAAGAATCGACACGCAAATAGCTTTAGAAATTTGAAAATCCACATTTTTTGGATATCGGTGAAATAGTCTCGATTTTAAGACGGAAATTGGATGCAAATATTCCACGAACGGGATAGTGGCAGCGGTAAACAAAATATGACATTTGGGTAATTGGACAGCCAGATTAGAAAGGCAAAAGATGCGAGAGAGAGGGAAAGAGAGAGAGAGAGCAAGATAGCGAAAAAAGAGAGACAAACAAAGAGAGAGAAAACGGTGAAACGACCAAACGGTAGACAATAATCAATGCTAGATAGTTCAAGGTATAAAAAGCTCAGGAAACCACCAAATCCTGTTTATCGTACAATCGCGTAGCCCAGCCTGGCTTGACTCATCCCCGGAGGGGAGGAAACGCGCACGAGAGGCGTGAACAAAAATTGTGAGCACAAGAGCTGGGGGGGACACGCATTTGGGGATGGATGGAAGAAGAAGACGGAAAAGGTGAAAGTTTATGGCTATCAGCCAGGCTGGCGTGTGCTTGCTCTTCCATATAGGAATGCTGGTAGTAGGAACGAGACTTTTCGGTACGCTACTTGTGACATTTGGACAGTAGCGCAGCTGTTGCAGACCTGGTCTGGGTTGATTTTAGTGCTGACTGGTATCCTTAACGTACAAGTGACAAATAAGGTTCAAAACAACAGAAAAATATAAATGCATCTTGGGGCTTCACAAAGCTTTAAATTACAGAGTTATAAAGCCAAGACATGGAATGATTCAAGGCTATGGATTTGGACTTGCATATAATTGAAAAACACTGCAGATCTTCGATCCCTACCCAAATTTAAGACAACCGGATACAGCAGATCCCGGGGGGAGTTTTCACAAAAACCAGGTCTCCACCCCCTGAAATAGATGCGTGCGGTGTGTATGGGTGTGGCCGGGAATGTTTCTCCTTTCTTGGCCCACGATCAGATCAATGCCCCGGAAAATCAGGGGTGAGAGAGCGAGAGACAGAAAGAGAGAGGGAGAGAGAGAGAGAGATGAGAGAGAGAGAGAGAGAGAGAGAGAGAGAGAGAGAGAGAGAGAGGAAGAGAGACGAAGAGTAATGGGCTGCTAAGATGAAGGAGACTGATTTCTTTCAAGCGGTTTGCTAGCGAAATGGATAAATAATGAGATCGGGGCGAGTGGGAGGGGAGTCGTAGTGAGTGATGCCTAGTTGTGGAGCTAGTAAATGCACGCAATGGTTGGAGGAGTAGATTATATTTTGCAAATAAGTTTGATCTTAAGCGTATCATTAATGGTATATCAATTAGCCAATTCACAATGCGGAAAAATTAAATTAATAGCTGTTGAAAAATATACCTAAATTAACGGAAAATGCTCAAAAAAATCGATTCATTTGTGTTAGAAAAAGTGAAAGCGCTCAGAGAAATTGTATCGAAAACTTAGTCACGCCTTACAAAGTGCTTTAGCTTTAGAAACCCATCGATCTGACTCAGTTTCACCTACTTCAATTCACCCCTTTCAACCCCAACGCCTACTTCAATTTTTTGCCCACCCGATCAGGCATTACTTGACAGCGCGGTGAGTGTTTACACGGGGTTTTTTAGTGGGTAAATAGCATAGGTAGAGCGATAGGAGCCCGTCGAATTCTGAGGAGTTCTAGGAAATTGAATGGTAGAAGCTAATTTTCAGCGCTTTCTAAAATTTTAGAAGTTCAGAAAAGTTGAAAAGAAACCCGGAAGTACTACTTTAAAACAAAAAAAGTTGAGTAAAAAAGCAACTGGACAGTCAACATCCCCCTCCCTCACGCTTCTTCTACCCACGCCTAGGACACACTCAACGCTTCTCCCCTCATCACTCGCATAGTCGCTGCTGCTAGGCCCTCATGGTATTGCAAGAAATCGATTGGCAACTTTAAAGGTGCCTTCAGCTTACGAATACGGTATATAAAAGCTTCATTAACGCTACATGCATCGTGAACTGCCTTGTAATAAGAATAAAATGCACGCTTCGTTAATCATTAATTCTGATAGGTTACGGTAAGGCCCGGCAACTTGAAAATGCGAAAAATAAAAACATCGAGCACAGTAGTATGACAGTGCGTGCTGGCCAGTGAACGAAAACGGGAAACAGCGTAAACTTTTCTTAATTTCAAAGGAAGATCAATTTCCGGAAGGCTAAGACGCTGGGGTGCTGTACCTGTAGCCAGGATTTAGATTCCTTGCCACCAATTATTTGTGTTTTTAATGATAAAATGATAAAATTTGGAAAAGGACCGGTATTGATGGAAAATACATATTTTGGTAATAAGCCATCACTTCAATACCTCTTGAAGTTCAAACCGATTTAAGATTAACATAATATACTTCAAATAGCACATAGACCGGATTAACATAAATATACTTCAAATAGCACAATGCAATACCATGAAAATGGAAAAGTTAGCGCCGGAAGGCTACAAATGGTTTCCATTTCCAGGCCACAACCTGAAATCCGACAATGCGGATCCAATATATGAAACAATTGCAAGGTCTCCTAGTTATCACCAGCATTGCCAAAAAGAGAAGAAACATCAGTTTGCCTCCGAAAATTGGCATTTCGGGATGCGCGCCGTGCGGCGCAAGGTGCGCACGCTGCCCCGGCATCTTCCCAAGTAGATGGTAGAGCCGCCTTGAGGATAAGAGAGAGAGAGAGAGAGAGAGAGAGAGAGAGAGAGAGAAGAGAGAGAGAGAGAGAGAGAGAGAGAGAGAGAGAGAGAGAGAGAGAGAGACTGTTTGTCCAACAAACAGATGGAAATGCCCGACGATTGCTCCGGCCGCCATCCCCCACATCGCATACTGACGACGCCTCAGCACAGCAGCCCCCGCAAAAAGAGCATGCGGTTGGACATTTTGTGGGCGACAAGGCATTTGGAGGGAAGTTGATGGTACCGTTAAATACCCTCAAAGGAGGTAGTAGATGGAACCTAGGCGCTCTTATTCTAGAAAACTCCTGGAAAAAGTTTCCGACGCCATTAGAATTCCCTGTGACCTGTAATTGTTATTTATCTGGACTCTCGTTATCTCTCACTCTCTTTCCATCTCGCGCTCTCTCTCTCTCTCTCTCTCTCTCTCTCTCTCTCTTCCGTTAGCTCGCCTGCTCCTGCTCTAGGTTTTGTCGCAGACTGATTGCTGAGTGATAAATATTGTTCTCTCACTCTCTCTCTCTCCCTCTTGCTCGCTCTCATTTTTATTTATCATTTCTAGCTACCTCGACTATAACAATCCCCCCAGCTTCAAATCGACGATCAGCATGGAACCTATAATTTTAAGATCAACCCTAGTGTCCAGAATTTCCCAAAGAATCGCTGCTAGCCTACACACCAAACCAACTACAGTAGCACAGATGACTTGGATGCCCCCCAATTCCACTCATATCAATCACCAAAAAGGCGTGAGAATTGGGACAGGTAGCCGAGACTCATGCGCCCTCGGGGTATAAAGGCCGGCCGAATGGAGAGACGGATAGAAGGGATGCCGCGGGCAATTAACTGATACCAACATCGACCAAATCGTGTCAAACAAAGCGTCAAAAACGTCAAGTTAATGGCGGCTGGATATACCCGGATTTGAGGTGTGAAGAAGCGTGTATGGCAGTGTAATTGAAGCGCAAAATCGTAATATACGACGAGAATTTTCCAAAGCTTCTAAAAAAAATTCTGTTTTGGCATATGAGTGAATTCTGTGAGCGAGTTGAAACGGCGACGACAGTTTCTTTCCGCTGAAAATGCGTAGAGTAACATTTAAAATTTGTCTGGATTTCCAAAATTACGCTTCATGTGATCCGCGTTTTTTGGGAAAGTCGACTTTTCAAAAATGCAAAAGTTGAAAATCTGCAGTTTCTCTCTAAATGATAATTTGTCATTGCCAACCTTTAAAAATGCTACGTCGGTCGCCTCATTTTACGCATTTAAAGCCGGTTTTCGAGAAAAGATACTTTAACATCTGAGAGTTTAACATATACGATTGTCCACGCAGGCTGAAGGTATTCGTCATAAGGAAAGGTATGAATGAATCACTAGGACGAATCACGAATTAAAATCAATAAGGTTACTGACAATACAAGTATTTAACGAGGGGTCTAGCATTGTTTTAGGTATCCCAATCTTTCGGCATTTTGCAGGTAAATTACAGGCTTTCAGGTTATCCCGCTACAGCGCAGATAGTCCGTTCCTCCGGCTCATCCGGCAGATTTTAGGTGCTAAAATCCACCTTCCTATCCTTAATGCTCTCCGAATCGTCGAACACCTACCCCTTTCGGCAACTTCCAACAGACACCGCCAAAGGCGTGGGCACCCTGCCCTCAAGGCACATAATGCAGAAAGCATAGTAGAAATTAAGTACAACAATGGG